AGCCACTCAGTCCCTATGTCACACCCACACCCAATGTTGAATCCATCCTATCTGCATTCAGCACCCCATTCAACCCATGTGAACCTACAGGCTTCATTGTCCATTTTCAAGTCAATGAGCAGGTGTTCTTCATCACAAATGGAGAGCCATTATATATCTTAGAAGTTACAGGACTATTTGATGAGTGTGAGCAATGGCTGTTGAGCCCAAAGATACAAGGTACATATGCATGACTGTGGAAGGTGATAGGAGTATGAATGATGGTATCATGGGTTGTGGTTGAGCGATGGTCATTTGAAGCAAAGCAGATATTTGATGGAGGAGAACCATAGGAGATTCATGCACTGAGCTCAATAGCTCCTTTGTTCTCTTTTATTTTGTGCTGTTTCACTTACTACTGTGTTATTGTAGGACAACTTGGTATATACAAAGGAGTACAAGCACTGTCCAAGCAGCTAGGGTTCAAGAATGGGAAGTGACATACAGGAAAGGACAACAGACTATTGATGTGAAGCGACACAATGTGGCACAATGATGCTACTATGAATGGGGGGAATGGGTACAGTATGTGAGAGAAAGAATGCCAACATTACAGTGCAGTATCGAAGAAAAAGAGATGTTCAACAATGAAGGCCAGGAGGTGGCACAGTGGATATTAGCAATGATGACAGGACTGGATGTGGATTGACAGCCATGTGAAATAGGAAGAGTCATTTGATGGAGACAAGGCACAACAAGTGTGGGTACTGAGCTTGATGGCTCAAGGATTTACTTTGGTTTTAGGAAGTGTTACTTACATTTTCACCACTCTAGGGAAGGTAGATGTTTTTGACAATCTGTGAATGTGATACACATGACTATGATGACCTATGAAGGGAAGCAGCAGACTGTAAAGGATCATTTGGGACAACTACAATGGTCCCTGTTAGAACTATGACACTGACTGTCGAGGATATGAGAGATCATGCAACCTGCGAGAGACATTGGAGTTATACTAGACAAGCTGGATAGCTTGACATTTCATTTTTGTTCAAGAAATTCCTGTTATTTTGCATTGTTTTACTTACAACTACATTATTCTAGAGTATGCAAAGACTACAGTCAAGGATGGACATGCTTAAGAGCATGAAGGCAATGCTCAAGTTAATATGTCAGGAAGGGGAATTACGAGATCAAGGTGCCCCTTTCAGTTTTGATTCAAGTGCTATATACTGCAAAGTACAGGCACCTTAGCACGAAAGGAAAGATGGTTGATGGGGATGGATGGCTCAAAGCCATTCATCAGTACTTGGTATCAAGACTCCATCCACCTGACTGCGAGGTGGAAGGCCGAAGTTTGGGATCAAAAGAAGTTAGCACCTGTACCTGCCAGGGTTGAAGACCTATCTTTGGAGAGGGCCTGAGGATATACAGATCCAAGGTGACATGCTTTATTATGATTTGAACATATACTATGCCAGTATCCTTTGTGTTTAGGGTCAAAAGAGTAGCAAACAAAGGTGGGCAACTTGAGGTCATTCAGTGACACTTAGTGCAAGGGCCTTGGCCACCAGACAAGGTACTGATTGAAGTACAAGAAGTCAAGTGTGTGTGCATGCAGAGAGTTGATGGTATGAGAATGAGAAGGACAGTATAGAGAGGGACCCAGTGAGAGTATTGATATATAGTCTTCCTTACCAGGATGTTTTGCTTCATGTGATGTTGCTCAACCAAGTTGTACTAGCCTTTGGGGTGATTCTACTCACTCTGATGTGTAGTTTTAAGTTTTCTGCATTTTTCCTTGTGCTAAGTCATCTTAAGGATGAACAATGATCAAGAGCACATGCATATAAGGATAGTAAATACACAACTGATTGAGATTTGTTTTAGGTACACATATACATCTTTGAGCTGCCTTGTAGAGGGCCAATCTCTGCTGTACTGGCCACAGTGCTGCACTACACTGCATTACCATTTCGCACCAAGACTGTGGCTCAAAGAGCAGTCCTGCTCTACTCTGCACTTGATTTATCACTCACTTGTTCATTTGCCTGGAGTTCATCCCCATTGTGGTTTGGTTCGAAGTTTGGGTGGTGAGGGGAGTGCTCGAGGCCAGGTGGCAATTGTGGGCAAAGAGAGTCACATCCAAGGGCAAGAAGTGTTGAGGGCAGAGAGGGTTGTTCTGCAAGGCCGGGAGCAAGTCTTGGGAAAGAAGGGAGTCATGTTCAAGTAGCGAGAAGGTTAGTGGTGAAGAGTTGTGGTTGAAGGGGATGAGGATAGAGAGTGAGGGAGGCATGGTGAATTTGAGGGAGTTTGAGGGTGAGGATGTGTAGTGAGGTCAAGGGGAGCAAGTGCAAAGACAAGGGTGTCTGTGCAAGGAGGAGGACAACTGAGGATGGTCAAATTTTAAACCACCCCTCAGATGTAGGGAACAAGTTTGAGTTCCCTAGGAGAATTCATCTTGGTCAGGAGTTTAGGGGTTGAGGAACTTGTTTTATCTCTTGCTTTTGTTTTCATGTTTGTACCACTGGACTTAGTGGCGAGCAGCCGCATTGCTGACTAAGCACATGTGCTGTGTTCGTGCAAGTTCAGTTTACCATAAAAGAAATCCATGTCAGAGGCCCTCAGCAGTAGGGTGATTTAGTCTCACATTTTGGTGAGTTTTTGAGGTCAGAATTATTACTTTGGGGAGTACCCAAAGTGCCAGGAGGACTGGCAGAAGGTATTGGACAGACAGAGCTAAGTATACTTTTTAGTTTGCATTTGTCACAGTTTTACTACACTTTTTCTCTCCAGCAAGAACCTCCCTCTTGGGTCAAGCACTATACTCACCCACCACTGACTAATTACTAATTCTAGGTACATCTGATTTCCTATTCCTACACTGGCCTTGACTCTAGTCAACCAGACTTAGCCCCTGACACCTGGTCTTGAAGCCCAGTCACCCAAGGGTAAACCTGTACTTCACATCACCCCTGCAGGGGACTTTGAATGCTGACTGTCCCCAGTCAGTGCAGAAGGTGGAATGAAGGTAGCAGGAGAAGCCATGGAAGGGGTTAGGGGTATCATGGGAGAAGAGGTTATGGAGGCAAGTAGGAAGGAAAGAAGGGGAGGGCACAATGGACAGGCTGTGGGTGCTGGAAAGGGTGGATAGTCAGCTGTCCAAGGCAAAAGCCTTGACCTCATCATCAGTGGGATCATCCTCAGCTTCCTCAAGAAGGCAGTCTAGTGCTTCATTGTCCAACCCAGGAATGTGAGTCATGGTTGCATGGGTTTGCAACTGTGGGTGGTATGGGAGCAGGCAGAACAGTGAAGCAGGATCTCCATCTCAAGTTGGATTGTCTTGCCATCTTGGACTCCAGTATGACATCAAATTATCTTGTCCAACATGTACATGCTCTCCCTATTTAATTTGCATGTACATAAGTAGAATTGTTTGAGGGGTATTCCAAACATATAAAATACTTTTCTAAGTGGCAACTTCCTCTCTTCTGCACAATAATCCAATCATACATCATGTCTTACCATCTGCCAAGCATCCTCTAGCAGCCAATTTATGGCCAGAGAATGTTGCAACTACAGTGGCTCACAAAATTGTCCCAATGTTTGCATGTTTTTCATTAATCATGGTGTAGACAGTGAACTATCATCATCCAGTCCAAGGTGTTGGTGGATGGATCAAAGCAGCTGGTAATGCTCTCTCATAAGCATATTACATAATATTTGCATAACAACTGATAACAGAATACCCATATGAAAATGACAGCTCATTGGGACAATTTTGGGGCTTTATGGTATACTAGGGATGCAGTCCTTCAGGACACATATAAAATGATATAAGGTGAACACAGATGCTTACATAATGTATCACATAGTCTACTGAATGACCTGTCAACAAACAAATAATGCCAAACAGTGATTTTGCACCACTAGGCCTCCTTGCCATGACACAATAGAATATACTCTCACCACCATTGGTCTCCTCAGAAACCTTCTGGCAGTCATTCCCTGCACTGTTTCCCCACGAATACCCTGTGTGTCATGGAACTAATCAGTACTGTGAGAGCTGAAAATGATGTGGAGGTCCAATCTAGCATTGAGTCTATCATAAACAAACCAATCACCCATTAACTAGTGCATTTATGTGAAGGTTAAACTGGTATAGAGGTCAGGGTGAAGCAAAATCCTCATTAGACTCTAGGTACCATGGGAGGGATATGACATGAAGCTTCCAGGGTGTGAATTCCTGCCTTGTTATCTGGTGCTGGATATTTTCTTTGGTCTTATATGATGAAATAACCCTTTCCCAGTGATCCACAGTTCAGCTCAGAGTACAGTCTAGTCAGTCTCCTCATGATACTGGATTTGCACCCAAGGGTTGTGCTTCATCTGAGCCTTCAAACAAGCTTTTCTTTGGCTGTGATGCACTAGCAAATAGGTGATTGGTGTGTTCATGATGGGCTGAATGCCAGATTGTACCTCCATACCATTTTCAGCTTGCCCAGTACTGTTTAATTTCAGGACATGTAGGGCATTGGCCAGGAAACAATGCAGGGGAGGACTGCTAGCAGGTATCCAAAGGGACTTGTGTTTCTGAGAGAATATTCTATTCATTATACTAGAGAGTACACCAGTATTTGCTGAGATTGCCTTGCAAGAACTTCCCTGATGAGCCAGAATGATGATTTCTTGAGTTGTGTCACAGAAAAGAGGCTTAGTGGTGCAAAATCATAGTTTGGCTTTGTTTGATTGCTGACAAATCATTTAGTAGACCATATGATACATTATGTAAGCATTGATGAGCATCTTATATCATCTTATATGTGTCCCCAAGGACTGCATCCCTAGTATACCATAAAGTTCCAAAATTGTCCCAATGAGCTGTCATTTTCATATGGGTATTCTGTCACCAGTTGTTATCCAAATAATATGTAATATGGCCCATGAAAGAGCCATCACCAGCTGTTTCGATCCATCCACTAACCCCTTGGACTGGATGATGATAGTTTACTGACTACACCATGATTAATGAAAAGCATGCAATCATTGGGACAATTTTGTGAGCCACTGTATCATCCAAAAATGAATGGTTGTATCTTCCTTGCAACAGTGGGAATGCTTCCCACACTCCATTGAGCACATGGTAAGTGGGCCACTGTAGCTAGAGATCCCACTTTGACAGATAAATTCCATTCACACATGCTTGTCTACAAAATGCTACCTGCAACTGAGGAAACAACCATTCTGTATCTGATATCAGTTTGCATTTATGGCTACCTGCACAGCAAGTTTGGATTGGGTGGCATTGGAGATTGGGGTGGGTATGTACTATGTCTGCTGACCCCCAGCTCAGGAGATTTCATGTTTCATGGGCTACAATGATGTAAATACAGTGTCATATGCAATCCAACATCTGACTCTGTCTTCAGGTGGGCATTCCATTGCATGGCAAAACCAATTGGACCACCTCAACCTTTCAGTTAACTTTGCCAGCCATACCTTGAAATTGCCATTGAGATCCATTCAATTCCACCACAGGCTATATTTGCAATGTCAAGTGTTCTTTAAAGTGATTCAATTGCTGATCACTATCAACTTATCTGATGCTTTTCTCCTCAGTGTGACGGTGTGCAACTCAACAGTGATACTGCTCATCAGACAATGACTGCAACATTCAGTTCCCAATGCCCCAACTTGCCTGTGATGCTGGGGTATCCATGGAAATGGAACAGGGGGATTGAATTACTTACAATGGATGATGCTGGAGTAATATCTCATCTTCATGAAATTTTGCTTGCTGGAGGTGATTTCATTGAAGTGGATGCTGAGTTTAATCTTGTCATCTCACATGCCCAATCTCAAACAGCCTGATTATGAGTATTTTTAATGTGTAAACAAGTTCTCCACTTCCCAGAAAAGAGGTCCAACTACATCTGTAAGTCCTTGACATATGCATTTTACTCTACTTACTATCTAGTACAGATCTCAACAGCACCTACACTGAACAGCAACACTTGTATAGTCAAGCACATGTGAACTATCAAGCCAACAATCAAGACTGCTTCCTCACTCCATTCCAAAATCAAATTGCCTATCATGACTCCTGTGCTACTGGTAATAGAGAGTTCCACATCCCATGTGTAAAACCACAGTCCATGATGATAGCAAAAGAAGTCTGCATGGTGGATGGACTCTCAATAACTCAGCATTGGGTGGCATTAGGAGGTGTGCCCCCTCAGAACAACCCTAAATTCTCTTTACTGCATATATAAATTGTATGTTGTTTGAATATGATTCACTGTTTCCTGTCCACAAAATGGCTCCCAAGTGCAAACTGCCTGACACAAAAGAACCTCCTGCAAAGTGCACATGTTCAGTGACTTCAACCATTGTTCCCAAGACTATCATCATCCCTGCAGTAAACCCACACCAACAAACCCATGCTCCTGTGTTACCTGATGTGATCATGCCAGCATCTCTGACTGCTGACATGTTGCAAGGATATGCTGAACTATCTTCACCTGCAACTGTGCCCTCTTTGGCTGAAGATGGTTTGGATGATTCTGTGCACACTCTCAGTAGCATTGACAATGCAGACAGTGCACATTCATCTGCAATGAATGTCAGTGCTAGACTGCACCCTGCAGAAACACCTGACATTCTACATGTGGTTCAACAACTACCCAACAAGATTCCACCCAAAGAAGCCCCATCTACTACTGGTGTAAAGTCTGGGCCTACTCTGACCAACTCCAACACTAGACAAGGTCTGGAGAGGGGTCCAGAAGTAAGTCTGACACAAAGGAACAGAACTCTGACTGGAAGAGTGTTGGCAGGAGCAAAGTCCACTGAGACAAAGGTGGTGCAGAGTGAGGGTGTCAAGTTTAGCTCATGCACTACCCCCTTGCATGATCTCAGCCCTTGTATTTCAGAGGGAGAGTACAGACAGAAAGTCAGAGGTAACTTTGACAGGCAGAAGACAGAGGCAGAGGGAGTAGGAACTAAGTTGATATTCATACTGAAGAACAGTGGAGTATGATACATGCCATTATACTGCTACAGAGATACAGCAACTGGAATCGGAACTGACATATGGAGACTTGTAAAATTTCAAGTAAAACTTCCTAGACAACAAATGAAGGGAAGGCAGAGGACATACAAGCAGGTAACATAGAACATCCCAAAAAAGGAAACAGTCCAGGTGCTGGACCATGCAGTGTGTGAGCTGCAGAGTACCTGACTGCACACTGTCAGGGAGAAGTCTGAAGGGTAATCACATGACTCCTCAGAGAATGGCCTGTGCAGTCTGGTAGGGGAGCAACACAAGTCCAACAGCAGTCAGAGCAGAGATGGTTCATAAATGACAGAGGATGGGCGGAGTTGGTGCAGAGTGAGTGAGGACTTAGAATGAACACATGGTCATGACAGTGCCCCCCCCCTAGGGCCTGAACCCTGAAGGCTGCATGTATGGCATGAGATCAACATGAGTTGATCATTTGAAATTGTTTGATGCCTCAAGGACAATGGTTCAGCTGCAGCAGAGCTCTGTCAGAGTTCAAAGAGCCACTTAAAAACACATGTCTGGGTATTGAACCCTCATATCCCATTCCCCCATCATCATGTCCTCTCAGTGCCAGACCACAACCCCCCAGCCCATCCCTGGTCACTCCCATGACTACTCTCAGGTTGCCAACAACAACCTAGTTGTCCTTACAGATGACTTGACAGACACCAAACACAAGAAGGCAGCAGAGAAGGCACATTGGTGAGTGGAGGCAGAGAAGAAAGAGTGAGAGTGTGAGGTGGAGTGCAAGGCTAAACGAGAGGAGGTCGAGCAACAAAAGGTAGAGGAGGCACAACTGGAAGCAGAGCAGAGGCAACATCAGGAGGAAGAAGCCTGAAGGAGGAAGGTAGTGGAGGAGGAAGAGGCATGGAGGAAACAGGCAGTGCAAGAGGCAGAGGGCCTTGGAGGAGAGGGCTCAGGCCAGGCAGGAAGAGGCTGTTCAAAGGTGAGTGGTGGGGTACTGCAGGTCAGGCAGAGCTGACTAGCAATCTTTTTTATTTTCTAATTTTATTTAGGTTATGTGGCACAGTCTATGACATGAACACTGCCCAGAGGGTCCCTGGGACCTCTGTGGTGGTTACTGTGACTGGGAGGCCCCCATGCACCTGCTGTATAGTGGGTCAGATGGCAGGGCAGGGCAAGGCCAGGGCCTGTGTGCCCTGTCAGAGTAAAAAGAAGGTATGTAGTTGGATGAAGGAGGATGTGGTGGTGGGGCCATTGTGGAAGAGAGTGGGGACAGGGGGCTCCTGAGGGGAGAAAAAGAAGAAGCTGTGAGGGAAGGGGAAGGAGAGAGCAACAGAGATGGAGGAGGCAGACAATGAGCAGGAGGCAGGCAGAGAGGACAAGGAGGAGCCAGCAACACTGCATGAGGGACCCTCAGGGGCAGGGGTCTCCTCCTGGTGGGTGGAGTGGGAGTGGGAGAGGCAGCTGCATGCTGCAGAGAGGTATGTGGAGGCACATGAGAGGGCTGTGACAGCCTTCAAGAGGATGGCAGAGGTGGCAGAGCAGATAGCAGAGATGGCAGAGCAGACAGCCAATGAGTGGGTGGAATGGGCAGAGATGAGGAGGAGGGAGGACATGCATGAGGCCAAGATGGCTGAGTTTGAGTGCACAGGAGGAGGATGGAAGAGGCCACAGTCAGAGGCAGTGGAGGGCAAGAACAACAAAGTGGATGAAGGTGTGGATGGGGACAATGAGGAAGAGGAGGAAGTTGGAGGAGAGCAAGAAGGTGGAGAAGAACAGGAGGGTGGTGGAGAGGAACAGGCAATGGAGGAGTAAGGTAGATTTCTTTTTTTCTTTTTTCTTTTGTTTTTTGTTTGTATATTCTTGTACTACTACAAATTAGATTTGTGATCTTATTTGTGGCTCTGAGAAGTAAGGTGGATGAGTGGAGGAAATTCTAAAGTACTTAAGGTAGTTTGGTAAGGGGTGGAGTTGGCCCATGGAGGAAGGTTATGTGGGTGGAGTATTATGGCAGAGGTTGATATGGGCCAGGTTTGTGTGGATAGTGTTCATGGAAAGCCGAGACTACGTTGGAAGTGTGATCTAGCTCAGTTGCAAGCAACCAAGAGGTTTCTTCATCAATGTTCTTGTAACCAGCCCAGCAGACTAGATACAAGAGTTGACAGTGGCAGCAATGGCAGTCCACCTTAGAGTTGAGTATTGTCAAGGTCACACAACACCCCTGACTTCCTCTTAGGGTGGAGTAGGAGTGGGTTGGGCTGCAGAGTACAGCAGTCAAAGTCTGAAGCAAATCTGACCACTGAGTGGTGAGATATTCTACAAACAGTGAGCAGAGGGGTATGGAGGAAAGTTTCAGAGGCAGAGGTCAGAGTCAGAGGTCAGAGGCCAGATGAGAGGGCATCAGGTTCAGCAAGTGTGCTGCCCCCTTGCATGAGCTCAGCCCTTGTATTTCAGAGGTGGAGCAGACTCAGAGGGAGTGGAGATGAAACTCTGGAGGGAACTGAGAGGGAGTTGAAGGTGGGGACTTTATTTGACATTCATACTGATTACATTGGAGTACTACATGGCCTTATATATGACATAGGTCAAGGGCAGTGCAGTGTAAATTGCAAACCAATAAGCATATAACAGGTTAGCAGTACCTCTGACACAAGGGATAGAGGGTAGGGACAATGGGGACCTTAACCAAGACAAGGAAACTAATACAATGAGGGAGAGAGGGTAAATACCAAAGGAGCAGAAGAATGGAGAAAAACCAACATGAGGGCAGAACCCTATCTGGAATGCAGGGCCACAAGTCTGACAGCCCACTGGGCTGACCAAGGCCTTGGAGGAGGCACAGATGAAGGTCTGGCCTCCATGTGACCAGCCTGAGGGCAGAGTTGAGCAGAGTTGGTCAGAACATGGACATGGGACCTTGGAAAGGTGTCAGGAGGGTTGGAGGAGCATGTGAATGGATTGGAAGAGGGTGAAGAAGTGTAGGAACATGTCAGAAGAGGGCAGTGTAGGTGTTAGGGGCTTATGCTGGTGTCATGGTCATGACAAGTATCTCTGACACTTTGTACTCAAGGTCACCATTGACATCCACCAGCAGAGGTGGAGGCTGTTGTCAGTTTGGAATAGGGTTAGCCACTGTGGCTTCCAGTTGTGAGACATGGAAGACTGGATGTACCAAGTGCATAGAGTCAGGGAGCTTAAGGGTGAGGGAGTGCATTCCTGGCCTGGCCAAGATGGTGAATGGACCTAAGTACTTTTCAGAGAGCTTTTCTGAAGGACAAGTGGAGCAGAAGTACTTGGCTTTGATGTAGGCCTGTTCTCTGACCTTGAACTCAGGTGGAGGTATGCATTTGGCATCTGCTGGACCCTGGTAGCACTGCTGAGTGGCAGACATTTCAGAGCAGAGGAAGTCATGAAGAGTGGAGAGCTCAATGACATAGTTGTGAGCCCTCAGAGAAGTGAAGTCTTGGTCAGGGACCACAGACAGGTGTGGATGATATCCCTTGTTAGTGAAGAAGGGAGAAACTCCAGTTGTTGCACTTGGTGCATTGTTGAAAGCAAACTCCACTAGAGGTAACAGCTCAGCCCAATTGTCTTGTTGGTAGTTACAGTAGACATGAAGGTACTGCTCAAGGGTCTGGTTCATTTGCTCAGTCTGGCAGTCGCCTTCTGGGTGGTAACCTGAAGTGAAGTGAGGACACATATCAAGGGCCTTTCCTAGAGAGCAGAAGAAGTGTGAGACAAACTCAGGACCTCTGTTGGAGGTGACATTAGCTGGTACTCCATGCTTGGAGAAGACATGAGTAAGGAAGAGCTTAGTGAGTTTGGTGGAGGTGACAGAGTCATGGGTGGGGATGAACACTGCTTGTTTTGAGAGGTGGTCCACTACCATGAGGATGGCAGAGTAGCCATTGGAGTTGGGGAGGTGTTTGATGAAGTCCATGGAGATGGAGTTCCAAGGTCTCTCTGGGACAGGGAGTTACTTCAGTAGACCATAGGGGCAGTGTCACAGAGTTTTGCCCCATCCACAGGCAGTGCAGGACTTGACATATTCTTTCATGTTGGAGTGGAGATTAGGCCACACATAGTCCCTGCAGATGAGTTCTAGGGTGCAGTTTTGCCCAAAATGGCCTGCTAGAGGATGGTCATGCTTGAACTGAAGCACTTGAAGGCAGAGGTCATCAATGTCAGGGACAAAGATGTGACCATCAAGGCAGAGTAGACTGTCAGAACCCAGGGACCACTGGG